TATTACTAAACGTTTCTACCTTAATTCAGAAGCAAGCTGAATCTTTCCACCTGTAGGCGCACAGGTTCGGCAGGAAGCATTAGGGGACAGTCAGGGTTTGATTCTCAGTTTTGCCAATAAATAGGCTTGTGGTCTATGTGGTTCCTGTGCTCCTCAGTTTTCTCTCTCATCAAATACCAAGGAATGAAGGGCTGGACCTCTCAACTCATTTCTGCTCCTAAAATTTCATAGTTATTTCCCCCACCCCCAAATACATTTGGAGGATGAGTCACTCCCCAGTGATCTGATGATCAGACAATTTTTGGAAACGTTCTTGGACTAAGAAGTCTGGGTTCTTCTGACTTTAAAGGAAAGAGCAGCATATTTTCCCAATTTCTTCAAATCTTTCTTCACTCACATTTTCTTAATTCTTTTCTCCATGTTTGTTTTCAGTGCATTTCACCAGATTTATTTTCCTGGAATATTTTACCTTTTGATTTTTATTTTTGGATGTGGTATCGTCAGCACATACAATTGTGCAGATTGAAAACTGCTCAGATCCAGGGAACACCATTCACTTTTTAGTGCACTGTCCATATGAGCTTTAATGACAGATGTGGTCATGATCAAATGCCTTATTTTTAAATAATGTTTATTACATTCATTGCACTGGATTCTTAATGTTGAGTATTACAATATCAGGACAGTTTGTACGGGAAAGGTGTTAGTCTTACTGAATGTAAGATTTCTGTAAAGATTTTTCCCTCTTACTACTTTATTTTATTTTATTTTATTTTATTTATTTTTTTATTTTTGCAGTTTTTGGCCAGGGTTAGGTTTGAACCCACCACCTCCAGCATATGGTGCCAGCGCCCTACTCCTTTGAACCACAGGCGCCGCCCCCTCTTACTATTTTCTTAATTATAATCTTTAAATGATTCTTTCCATGTATACAGAATTTGAATGCATTTTTTATCATTTTTTTTGAATTATTTAGTGTCGATAAAGCAGATGATGAAGAGGATGAGGATTTGACGGTGAACAAAACGTGGGTCTTGGCTCCAAAAATACATGAAAGTGACATTACACAAATTCTCAATTCACTGCTTCAAGGTTATGACAATAAACTTCGTCCCGACATAGGAGGTGAGTTTGAGTTATCTTTGTGGAATTTTTTTTCTATGAAAAATATCCTAACTGGTATTATTTTAATCATTTATCTCGTATTCCTTGAGTGTCTGATACATGTCAGTGACTGCTGGATTTGCAGATTGATTGGAATAGTCACTAATAGTTTGAGGAGTTCATGGTCTGAAGTAAGAAAAAAACATACAAACATTTTTAATGTTATCATTTTATAACTGTTATAACAAAAGGTGAAAGCGGAGTTTTGATCAAAATACTTGCAAGGCTGAAAATACTACATATAAGAACTATGGTAATATTTGAAAGGTAAGTAGGAATTCTAATTTTTTACAAATGCCACAGTGTTTTAATTAGGTAGAATTTTAAGTCTTCATAGCATAATGTAATCAACTTTGTTCTCTTCAAGATTGTTATTCTTACTCTTTTGTATTTATGCACAGACTTTAAAGCATAATGAACTTGTAAGTCTTTAAACAATTATAAATTAGCAAAGATTTTCATTAATGTATTGTCCATAGAGGAAATTGAAACTTTCTTCATATTGAACTTTTACCATATCAAAATTCATGACCATCATCCATTTATTCCTCTATTTATATGTTTCTTTTCTATTAAAGTTTTCCATGGATTAATGTGGCATATGTTTTGTTAGATGTAATCCTATATATTTGGAGTTTCTGATGCAAGTGTAAAAAGATCTTTCTTCAAAAGTTCTTTTCTAATATTGTATATCAAGTGTTTTTTTTATGTTTACTCTGTTTTCAGAAGCCCTGTGAAATTCAATTATGGGCTTTAATTCTTTAATTATTTATTAGATTCAGCTTGACTTTTATAGGATTGTGAATAATGACTATTTCCACAAATAATTAATATTTACATGGAAAAAATATCTCTTTAATCTAGGTTTTCCAGTTTATTTTGCAGTTTTCGAAGTCGTCTCTTTGGGTTTTAAAGAATCACTTCTGTTTCAATGTTTACTTATTTTTCTATTTCACATTTCATATGCTGTATTGCTACACAACCCTTTCACGTTCTTGATCAAGAATAACAGAGGTAGCTTTCTTCCTGTTTTTTTAACACTTGTCTGCTAACACGCAAAACTGTAAGATGTCCATTTGTTATTGAATTCTTCTGGTTTTCCATCTACTACCCCATAAATTTCCATTTTGTCATTTATTTTTTAAAATTTTTATTTTTTTGCTGTTGGGGAATCTTTGAGGGTACAAAGAACCAGGTTACCCTGCTTGCATTTGTTAGCTAAAGTCCCTCGTATAATCATGTCCCACCCCCAAGAGGTGACACACCGTGACCCCCACCCCGTGCCTTCCCTCTCTCTGCTCCCCACTTCCCCATCCACCACATGTACTAGGATCATATCATTTTGCCATATTATAACTGCGATACAATTTTATTTTGTTTTACTTTCTTGTTCTTTTTGTATTTTTTATAAGCTGGGAACTTAATGATCCCTTTTCACTCTTTAATTTTTGGACACTATGTCTCTTTTTATATCACCTGCATTTTTCCTCGTGAAGGTAGCTGCATAGTTGTTGGATATATAAATATTTTAAGTGTTATATTTTTATAATGACTTGTGGCTTCAAGCAAAAAAAAATGGACTGTCAAATTTAAAGCTTTTTGCCTTAAATTCTAGTTCATCCGCTATCGGGATATTACTCCAGCCTCATTCTTGCTGCCGTTTGTGTGCTATCCCTTTGTCCCTGTCACCAAGTTTGAACCCTGTGAATCATTTTGTTTTAGCTACCTCTCATACGCCACATATCATTGGGTCTTGAACCAAATGGTTTGTTTTCTTTGAACAGATAAGTTAATTCCATCATGTGTGATACGTTTGCTCTCAACCCTGTCATAATATTTTAGCAGTATGTTCTATCTTTCTATCTGAGATGCCATGTGGATTCTTTACATGTAATAATCTTTTTATTTGTGTATTTTGGAAGCTTTGTTTTTTTTTTATAGCTTTATCTTTGTACTTCCATATTAGCCTTAGTGCCGCCTCATCTCAGCGCTTCCTGTCATGGTTGTCAGTTGTGATTAAGATTATTTAACTTCCATGTAGCGTCCAAACAATAATCAATGAGGTTTTCTTCCTTCCCTTTCCTTTGCTCTATTATTTTTTTAATTATTGAATTGCTTTTTTCAATATTGTGTTGCTGACTTAATTTTTTCTTAATTTTTATTCAATCATAACTGTATACGTGTATGGGGGTACAATATGATGATTTGATATACAATGTGGAATGCTAAAATAAAACTGATTAGCATAGCCATCATCTCACTTACTTATTTTGTGGCAAGACAATTATAAGACACTCCTAGTTGTTTTGAAATGTGCCCTTGCATTGTGCACATTAGGTGAGATCCCGTCAAATGCCCTCCCTCCTCTCACTCTCCTCCCTTCTCTCCCCTCTTTCTTTCTGGACTACAGTTATGTTTTATCATTCATATGAATGTGTAAGTGTTGATATATTGGTTTCTTAATAGTATTGAGTACATTGGATACTTTTTTCCCTCATTCTTGAGATACTTTACTAAGAAGAATATGCAGAGTATTCCATGGTATACAAATACCACAGTTTGTGTATCCATTCATGGGTGGATGGGCATTTAGGCTGCTTCCATGACTTGGCTACTGTGAACTGGGCTGCAATAAAGATTCTGGTACAAATGTCTGTTGTAAAATTATTTTTGTTCATTTGGGTATATACCTAGTAATGGCATTGCAGGGTCAAATGGTAGGTTAACTTTCAGTTCCTTGAGAATGCTCCATACTTCTTTCCAACAAGGCTGTATTAGTTTTCAGTCCCCCCAGCAGGTAGAAGCATTCCTTTCTCTCCACATCAACACCAACTTCTGCAGTTTGGGGGTTTTGTGATGTGGGCTAATCTTACTGGAGTTAGGTGATATCTCAGAGTGGTTTTGATTGGCTCTTCTCTGATGACTAAAGATGATAATAAGCATTTTTTTCATGTGTTTTTAGGCCATGGACCTGTCATCTTCAGAGAAATTTCTGTTCAAGTCTCTTGCCCACAAAGAAATGGGATTGTTTGTTCTTTTTTTTATTGATTAGTTTGAGTTCTCTGTAGATTCTAATTATCAGACCTTGGTTGGAAACAACCTGCAAAAATCTCCTATTCTGAAGGCTGTCTATTTGCTTTACTTACTGTGCCCCTTAGCTTTGCAGAAGATTTTTAGCTTGATCAGATCCCAGTAATATATTTTTGGTGTCACTTTGATTGCCAGGAGGGTCCTCCTAATAAAATATTTTCCCAGATCATTATCTTTAAGCATTTTCCTTGCACTCTCTTCTAGTATTTTTATAGTTTCATGTCTTAAGTTTAAATCTTTTATGCAGTGAGAATCAATTTTTGCTAGTGGTGAAAGGTGGGGGTCCAGTTTCAGTCTTCTACAGGTCACTAGCCAGTTCTCCCAGCACCATCTGTTAAATAGGGAATCTTTTCCCCAGTGTACGTTTTTGTTAGGCTTATCAAGGATCAAATGATGATCTTGGGTTCATTTCTTGGTTCTTTATTCTGTCCCATATATCTACTTCTCTATTTCTGTGCCAGTACCATGCTATTTTGATTACTATACATTGATAGTATAATCTGAGATCTGGTAATGTGATGCCTCCTGATCTGTTTTTATTTCTAAGTAATGTGCTGATTATTTGAGGTTTTTTTCTGATTCCATATAAAATGGGGTACTTTTTTTTTCAAGTTCTTAACGTCTGACACTGATGCTTTGACAGGGATTGCATTAACTCGGACATTTTACCTCTGTACTTTCTTATTAGCCTTAGTGTCCCCTCATCTCAGCTCTTCCTGTCATGGTTGTCAGCTGTGATTGAGATTATTTAACTTCCTCATAGTGTCTACACAACAATCAATCAATGAGCTTTTTAATTTTCTTCCTTCTCCTTCACTCTGTAATTTTTAAATGCGTAGTTTCTGCTTGGGCATAACGTATACCACCTCAGATATGCTTTCCATCCTTGTTTCAATCTTGGTATAGTCTTTAATTTGTATCAATATTTGTTAAAATCCTCATCAATAGTCTTTGTTTGCTGGAGTTCTTTCAGTCATTGTTTTTTAACTCTATAATATCAATTGATAACTTACTTTGTGTTTTATTTTTGAGAAGCCTGTAGCTAGTACTGTTCATTAGCCCTTGTAATTTTTTTTTTTTTTTGAGGTCTTTGGGATTTTTCTTTGTTTTTAATGGAATACTTTTACTACTGCATGTCTCAGAGTTGTTGATTTGGGTAACTTTTTCTAGACATGTGATAATTCTTTCTGAAATGTTATTTCAGGTTTATTTTTTTTTCCCAACTCTGGGAACATTTGTTTCCCTACATATTAGCTATAATGAAATAATTATATATATAATTCATAGAATTATAGATATCATATATGTTACATATTATATATATGTTTTCTTATATAAATTTATTTAGTATTATAAGACTGAATATTAGTTCTCTTGCATGGTTTTGGCTTTCCTCTTCATGGACTCCAGTTATAGGTATTTTAGTCACATCTTACGTATCAATTTTCTTTCTGACCCTCTGATTTCTCTTTGTCTCTTTTATATTCTCTTTACTGTTTTCCTACCTATTATTAAATTGTTTCATTGGATTTATTGTTGTTGTCCTGTAATTTTGTCTTTTGTTATCCATTTCTTTCTAAAGTTCAATCAATTCCCTATTCATTTCTTTCTGTCGGTGTGGGTGGGGAATGCATTTCTTCTGCCTAGTTTTGAATGTTTAATTCAAGGTGATTTTCCTTGAAGAAAGTGTTCGTTTGAATCTATTGAACTGTTTGGAGTATTTTCCTGCCATTGTCTTCTGTTCAATGTTTTATTGCGGGCTTGTCACAACGGATTTGTGTGGGATCTTGATTTGTTATTTCTGCATTAACTCTTTTGTCCTATTTGTTTGGTGGTTTCCAGGTGTTTTGTAGGATTTTTAGTTTACTGGT